ACTCTGATTTCCTAACTGTGGAGGTGAAAAACGTCATGTGCAGAGGTAATTCCATAATCAAGGGCAAGCAATGCCACGTTCCTGGTATGTAGGTCTCTGCTGCTCCGGCATATCCCAGAGCAAATTTTAGAGTCAGGAGCCAAGTCAAAAGCTGCTTCTAAAAGACCAGGTGGGAAAACAAAGAGCCGGCCAGACTGTGGAAACTGGAAAATGCCTGTTTTCACCCAAAGAGGGCGCAGCTGCTCAGCTCCAGCCAATGTCCTACGTGAATGCAAGTCCAGTGGGGCTGATCTCTATTCTTTTCAGATTTTCCAAGAGAAATCTGGAATTTTAAATTTTTTCAGTGTGAAATCTCTCAACTTTTAAAGTTTGGAAAATTAAAAAAATTTTAACACCATGTGGACCAAGCACATTTCCAATGTGTAGCCTTTGTCTGGGGCAAAAAAAGGAGTGGCTAGCTCAGCCTGAGACGCGGGCAGGAAGCTAAGGCAGGCTCTCAGTTTTGCCCACTGAGCTAGGACTGAGGTCTCCCCAAGTCCAGTTCAATCCAACAGGCACTGAGGGACACAGGATGAACACAGTCCTCCTAGGCTGGTCCCTACCACCTGCCATCTGACTTTCTTGCGTGGCTACACTTCTCACACAGAGCTTCTTAGCTGCCAGCATTTCCTCACTACCCTTTGGTCCCCAGATGTGACAACTGGGACTGACAGCTGGAAGGGAATGTCATGGCTGGGACTACAAGGTCATCTGCTTCAGTATTTTTGGTCCAGGAAAACACCTCACCCTTGGAGTGTGCTGAAAATGTTAATTCCTTGGCCTCCCCCAGATATCCTAAATCAGGGAGTCTGGGGATGGAAAGCATGGAACATGCATTATTAGCGAGCTCTCTAGGGCATTCTGGTGTGTTGCTGAACTAGTCCAACCTTGACTTCCTGATGAAACAAGAGTCCCAGAGAGGGGCTTATCCAAGGTCACGTAGGCAGGTCAGCAGGAAAGAGAGGGAGGCACAGACTCCCAACGGCACTGGTTGTCAGAGCCCCTACCATTTTGGCTTGTGTGCCGTGATTCCTGCAAATTTACTCTTTCCAAGATCCCCAATGCTCTGTCTTCCTAAGGCAAATCCAATGGTTTGTTGGTCTGGTTCTCTGTATTTTTTCTTATCCTCTGTGCTGTGCTCTCTGCTTTGAATCTAATGATATTTTGTCTTTGGATGATTGAGTGGGAAACATGAGTCAGATATCGAAGAGTCCAGTCTAGTTGTGACACCCAAAAAAGGCGAACGGTCAGGACCAAGCTAGAGGTTTGCCTAGAATCTGGAGAGATGATGAAGAAAGGAACAAAGAAGGTAAGCCCCGGGGCTCATCCTGTGGTCCATGAGCAGGGAGGAGCACTCAGACAATCAGTTGGGTCTCCCAAACCAAGTAACCAGAGAAAGAAGGAATGGCATGCACTGAGAAAGAGAACTAGTTAGCATCTGATAATAACCTTCATCTTCTTGTCTGCTAGACTCACTATATCGATTTAACCCCAGGACCAGCATATCTTCCACTACAACGTTTTAACAGGTATTACAGGTAAGTCTCCTGAAGGAATCTCACCCATTTTAGGGATGTACCAGGCACTGATCTCATCACTTGACTCAGCAAACATTTAACCCATCTGCAATGGGCAATGTGCAATGCGGGGCACCAGAGATGGAGAGGAGGGTACAGCAGCCAAGCCAAGGCAAGATGGACATCAAGGCAGGTCAATGACAGCTCAGTGAGGTAAGTGTCCCATCAGAGGTCAGTCCACGGTTGAGAGAGGAGAGGCTTTCTGAAGGAGGTGATGACTAAGCTAGGTTTAAGAACACAAATAATGTTCAAGTTTTAACAATGTTTGTTCCTGGACTTAAGTTGAAAGTGAATCATTAAACAGAACTTACAGGAAAATATGGCCTGTGTTGTATCAGTCACTTTCTGATGACAGGATGAGGGTGTCGAGGAAGGGCAGTTGTATAGAGCCAGATGGTGATACAGTGAAAGGTGTTCCTTTATATCCTCTTAACTTAATGATGTTGACAGGCATGCCACCGCAAAGATACAGAAAGTAAACTGTTTTGAATGTTGAATATCAGAGGAGTAATAAGCAAAGAATTCAATGAAGGAGTTAAAAAAGGAAAAAAGTCAGCTTTGCTGTTTGATTTACAGATTTTGTAGAATGCATCAAGGCACCTTGTGTCGATTAAGAAGATGTACATTTTCACTTGATATTATAAGGCAGAGGTAAGTGGGGAGTTGTTGGGGGGCTGATACCAGAGGATTAAGAAAAAAACTTCTGGAGTATGTTACTTTCAGTACAGATTTCAGTCTCTCACATTTGCACATATGCTATAGCAGTCAATCCTTTCTCCTGAAGGAAATGATTCTTGTTTATTGGAGATCAAAAAGGAAGCATCTCAAAATTTAAATTTTATTTTGTTTTGCTGCTTTGGTGATTCCAAGGAAACATGTTCTACTATGGAAAGGGCTCTGAAATGGGAACCACTGGACCTGGGATGAAAATCTGGTTCTGACCTTGAGCAAATCACTGCAGTGCCCTGCCACTCTAAGCCTCAGCACCCTCCACTCTAAGATAGAATGTTAATGCCTGCCCCCACGATCTTCCTAGGCTATTGTGACAATCAAAATCCAATTTATTTTAGGGAATCCTGTGTATGAAGCGTTGAAAGTGTCCCACACAATGTGCTTAAAACTTCCTCTGTGTTGTGTCATTTTATCCTCACAGTGACACTACCTGGGGACTTCTGTTAACTGTTCCATTATATAGATGAGGAAACTATAGAGAGTTTAGTCCCTTGTCCAAGGTCACACAGCAAAGAGAGTGTGAGAGCCAGTATTTGACCCTGAGTGTGACTGCTTCTTGAGACAGAGCTGTTACCTCCTACATGGTCTGCTGTTCTGTCACCTTAGAGCCAGAAAATGTACGTGAAGGCACACTGCAGATGAGTAAATACTGTCCAGGATTATTATTTTTCAACAATGACTGCAGTGTGGATGAAGATGAAGACAAGAGATGACAGTGACATAACCTGCCCCCAAGAACAGCCATTCATTTTACTCGCCCATTATAACCCCAGTCCTCATTCTCATTTGTAGCTAGTATCTGTCCAGATACATTCAGTTGCAAATAACATAAAAGTCTGACACCCTCAGGACATTTATTGTTTGTTAGAAAAGAGGTCTGGAATCAGACAATCCTAGTTTAGACCAGCAATTTCACAACGTAAAGGCTCTGGGCTGTCATCTCTACAGTCATCTTGGTTCTGTACTCATGCTCACATAATAGCTGCTGCAGTTCCAAACATCACAATCTAATAAGACTTTTTTTTTTCACTAAGAAGCTGACAGCCAGCCAGGATAATGAATGGGCACTTCTTATATGTCTCTCCTTTTATCCAATAAAAGAAAATTGATTGTAAATGGAAATATCCATCCCCAAACTCCATAGTACACTTCCCTTGTATCTCATTGAGTAGAAACGGCTTACAGTGTATTAGGATGGGCCAGGCTAGGGGTACCGAGTCAAACCTGAAATCTCAGTGGCTTAATACAGTATAGGTTTCTTTCTTGCTCACCTCACAATTTTTGTGGGCCCAGGCCCTCCATCTAATAGCTACACCACCTGGAACTTGAGGCCTCCAAGGTCAAGGCAGCAGAGGAAGAGAGATGAAGACGGTGGCAGTACTATCTCTAAACTGTGCCAGACCAGAAGTGGTGCACTCTGCTCACATTCCTGTTGGTCAGAACTTGGTCCCACCGCCCCACCTCCTGCAGGGTGGCTGGGAAGGACAGTCTGCCCAGCAAAAGGAACAGTGTGAAGAACACATTGCACCATGTGCCGCTCGTGGCCACCCCCAGCTGTCCGAGAAGAAGGGGCTGAGGAGTGGCTGCTGGGCGGGAGTCTGCCACTCCATCTCGTCCACCTGTTCCCTCACCAGCCGAGGCAGCCTGGTTCAAGGTACAGCAGGGAATGTCCTTCTCTGGGCTTCCGTGCCATGAGTCCTACGCCTCCCTCTTCCACAGTACTTTTTTCTCAGTATTATAATAATTTTTCACTTGCCTGTCACTCTCTCCCTCCAGCCACCCCTCCCCCAACAGAGTGTAAGCTTTTAAGCTCAGAGGTTGTCTTCCCTTTCCATCCCTCATGTCTAGACTAGGGTCTGACACCTGGTATGTGCTCAGTAGATGTATTTAGAGCAAGTGAATGAGGGTCTTTTAGAAAGGATGGTTGCAAACATTTGACTTTCTTTATGAAAGTATGTGGCTCTTTAGAATTTTTCATAGCACCACTGAGGAACAAGAAGTATGATTCAACCTTTAAATAAACATGGGTGCAAAAGAGACTATGCAGCAGACCTCCAGAGTGTGGTCATAAATCAAGCAAATATTTGATCAGTGACATCAACGTATGTAAAAAATTTCATTAAGGAAACTGACTTTTGGAATCCCACTTGGAATATCTTGTCTGGTCTTGGGATTTTAACCAAAAGTATATCTCTAAGACTGGGAGTGTGCCCCAGTGATGGTGACCAAGGTAGGGGGCAAAAAACTTAGGGTATTTTGATATATACATTTTAAGAAATTTAATTAAAGGAGCCAAATAAGTGAGGCAATTTATCAGCAGGGATTGTCACCACCATTAGAGTTGAAATGCATCAAGGACTATGTGCCAGATGTTGTGCTAAGGGCTTTATGTGCTAATATTATCTAACGTGATCCTCTCAGCAGTGCCCCGGGGCAGGTATTGTGCTCATGCCCATTTTACTGCCCGGTATAGTAAGGTTCAGAGAGTTTAATAATTTACCCAAGATCATAGAGCTGTTAAGAGAGTGGTGGCAAAAATTAAGAACAAGGCTATCTGGTTCCAAAAACAGCAACTTTCTTTTTTAATTCAAGTACAGTCGATACACAATCTTGTGTTAGTTTCTGGTGTACAGCATAGTGATTCAATTATACATACATTCTTTTTCATTATAGGTTATTACAAGACTATAGTTCCCTGTGCTACACAGAAGGACCTTGTTGTTTACCTATTTCATATATAGTAGTTTGTATCTGCTAATCCCAAACTCCTAATTTATCCCTCCCCCTCATTTTCCCCTTTGGTAATCATAAGATCGTCTTCTATGCCAATGAGTCTCTTTCCTATGAGGTTTATAAATAAGTTCATTTGTATTAATTTTTTTAGATTACACATATAAATGATATCATATGATATTTGTCTTTCTCTGATTTACTTCACTTAGTATGATAATCTCTAGGACCATCCATGTTGCTGCAAAAGGCATTATATCATTCTTTATATGGCTGAGTAATATTACATTATATATATATATATGTATATATACCACAACTTCTTTATCCAATCATCTGTTAATGGACACTTAGGTTGTTTCCATGTCTTGGCTGTTGTAAATAGTGCTGCTATGAACATTGGGGTGCATGTATCTTCAAATTAGAGTTGCCTCTGGATAAATGCCCAGGAGTGGGACTGTGGTAAGTCTATTTTTGTTTTTTTAAGGAATCTCCATACTGTTTTCCACAGTGGCTGCACCAAACTACATTCCTACCAGCAGTGTAGGAGGGGTCCCTTTCCTCCACAGCCTTTCCAGCATTTATCATTTGTGGACTTTTTAATGATGGCCGTTTGACTGGTGTGTAAGTGATACCTCACTGTAGTTTTGGC